TAAAAAAAAAAAAAAATACACCGGCTCCAGATGTGGAAGCGGTCGCAGAGGTGGGTTTTTTTTTCCCCCTCTTCTTCTGTAGGTCTTCACCTCTTGCATCCCAAGGGTTTTATTTGGTTTTATTAAAACCAAAGCAAATCTCTGGTTTAAATCAGCCCCAGCAGCACCCCAGCCTGCCCGCGGGAGCTGATTCGGGGCCGGGGTGACGTTCCCACCGGCAGCACCCACCCCGACATCCCACTGCTGGTCCCACCGGCGCCTGGGTTAGAGCGTCGGGCTGTGCCCTGGCCCCACCGGCTCTTCCCAGGGTTTCCCGCTCCATTCCACGCGGGAAGGACCAGCCGGTTCCTGCTGGAGGAGCCGCTTGGCCGGACGAGGCCGCGGAGCCAGATGTTGCGCCCAGAGGTGCGCGTGGCCCCCGACCCATCACCTGCACGGAGCTGCTGCGTCGGAGCCCAGGCTGCTCCCGCCTGCCCCTTCCAGACACCGATGACTTTATTAAAAGGATTAAAAGTTAGTTTCCCCTCCTTATTGCATGCTCTGATTTATGCGTGTGTTTAAATCAATCCCATTTCCTCTGTTTTATCCCTTCTCCCCAAGGCTTTCAGGCTTTGCTGTGTTAGACATCTGTTATAATCGCGTTGTTTTGAGGCAAGCGAGACACCGGGGGTGTTTTAAATGATTTGAATAAATAAGCTGTGTTACTTAAGCGCTTCTCCCAGGTGCTCGTTGCCTCTCCTGAGCTGTAGATGCCCGTACTTGGACAAGTTTGTGCTGTCTCGCAGGGAAATATTAACAAGCGTTCTTGTGAAGGTGCCGTATGGATGGAGATCAGGTCCAAGCCCCCGCCTGGCTGAGCGCTGTGTCTGCCAGAGGAGGTGCCCCCAGTCTGTCCGGTGGGCTGGGGTGCCCAGGGCAGGGGATTTCAGGTCCAGCCGTTGCTGGATGGGCTACATAAGCAGCTTTATTTTGTAATTTTAAGTTTTCAATCCCATGCATTCGCTCGTGCTCTCTTATTAGTAAGCATTAGCTCTCTAAGTCCCATTAACTCTACTGAGAGCTGGGGCTTGGCTTGTGGGGACAGCAGTGACGGAGCCAACAAGGGCCTGCGGACCTGATCCTGCAGCTGGTGATGTCCGTGATGCCTCGTGGGGCTGGTCCTGGCCCCGCAGGATCGGAGCATTCATGGCTCAGTGCTTTCCTCTGCTGTGCCCCCGGCCCCCTTCCCAAGCCCCCCCAAGCTGGGCTCCCTCTAGATCTGATGCAAACCCCGGGGCTGACCCTGTTTGGCCTCTTGCTGCTTTATTAAGGCAACTATTTTCTTGTATATAAATGCATATGTTAAATTCAAACCCAGTTCTGTCTCTGTCGGGTTTTCCCTTTAACCCCCTGGCCATCCCCAGGGCCGTGCTTTGTCAGAGAATCTGGAGCCTTGGGTTTAAAATTAGTTGACTGCTTGTCTTTAATAAAATGACTCCTGCCCTCTTTAAATAGCACAATATGTCACAGAAAGCCGGTGGGTCCATTCGTGAAGATGAGGCAGCTCAGAGAGGAAAAAGAGGAGGGGGAAAAAAAAAAAAAAAAAAAAAAAAGGTAAAAATGCATCTCCCCAAACCCCTTCTGTGTAATCCAACTGAATTAGAGGATTTTGAAGTGGATTTAAAACTAAATCTCGATTAGGGAGAATTTCTCTCCAAGAGCTGCTGCACGGTAGTATTAATGGGAAGTGATCGTGGACAGAGGAAATAGGACAGAAATAACCGAGGGTAGCACACACGCACTCACGTCTGTGCATGAACTGAAAGAATCGGAGAATTTCTCGAGAGGAAAAAGAAGAAATTAAGCATCGACATAACAAGACTGGGTGCCACCAGCCTGGCTGGAGAAGCGGGGAGCGGCCAGATTTCCGTTGCACCCTTTATTCTGGTGGAGGGTTTTGCAGGTGAGAAGCAAGCAGCGTGCACGGCTGGGGGGAAGAGCCAGAGGAGAGGCGATCGCTGCCCGCCGCCCCAGACACCAGTGTTTGTCCTCCGAGCTCCGGGTGGGCTCTGGGAGCCGCCCCCCATGCTCTCAGGACACATGCCTGGAGCTGCCCATGGGATCCTCTCTCTGATAACCGTGGTGTTCGTCCTACCAGAGGGTAAGTCTGCGGAGTTCCCGGGGTGTGGAGTGTGCCTGTTGCTTTGGAGTTACGGTTGTTCGCATCCTCCCCAAACGCTGGTTGTTAAGGTGTGATTTATCCTCAGGATGAATTCGGGGGCATTCCCCAAGGGCTGCAGCTGCGTGATGCCGTGTGTTGGTGGTTTTTAGGAAGAACTAATGTCAGCTTGTTTTGTACAAGACAAAGGTGTGTGGGGGGGCCAGGAGCCGGGATGCCCTGGGCTCCCCTTCCCCGTTGTCACTGGGGCAGGGGTTCCCCTGGCTGTGCCCGGCTGTGCGAGGGTCCTCACCCACCTCCTGAAAATCCCGTGGGAGCAGAGTCACGGAATCATCTAGGTTGGAAAAAGACCTTGAAGATCATCTAGTAAGACGAGGCCAGGCTGGGGAAGGGCTCAGGGGGCAGCATTGAGGGGCATGGAAAGGTAACGGCACGGGTAAGTGCAGCCTGTGATTAACCAACGCAGAGATCAGGTACCGCGTTTGCCTTAACCTCTGTGGATGATGGAAAGGGTATCCTTTGAAGGCTTTTTTTTTAAAAAAAAAAAAAAAAAGAAACGAGAAATGGCTTAATTCCTATTCCAGTCTAGGGCAAACAATTCTCAGACAGAGCCACCGAGCCTGCGGGGAAGGACTGAGCTGCCACCAGTACAAGTGTGCGAAGCTCTGGGGACACTCACAGCGCTGCTGTCCCGGGGTCACAGGCACGTTGCCTCACAGTTGCTCTGAGCGAGGGTTGCCATTCTGTTTCTGAGTTGTTTTCCCTCCCTGATAAACCCTGCGATAAGAGCTTTCAAGGAGAAAACCAAACCACACCGATGAAACCATCCCTCCAACGCAGGCGCAGCTCAAACTGGGGGAATTTGGTGAAACAGGGAAAAGCTGTTTTGGCGAGCGACCCAGCCCTGGGTCCGTGCTGTCTGTGGTTGGGAGGTTTCATCTACTCTTTACAAACCCTGTTTCAAAGCTCTCTTGTTCCCACTATTCGATCCCAGCGCAAATCTCCGGCTAATCTCTGATTTTGCACTGACCTCTAGTGGGAAACGCTTTTTATATTTTTGGGGCCCACTGGGTGAGCAAGCGGCAAACAGCTTCGGGCTCTGGCTCAGTGTTTAATGCGACTTGGCGAGGCAGAGAGCGCTGCAAAGCCGTCACTAGAGAGCAGCTAGGAAGGAGTTGAAGTATTTTTTCCCCTGAAAAAATCCAATTTTGTTTCATGTGGTTCTTGTTTAGCGTCCGCACTCCAGTGTTATGGCTGTAACATCATCGTTGGCACCAAAAACGTGGACAGGGGGTGCTCTAACCCAGAGGTGATCACCTGCTCCCACTCCCACCAGGGCTTCAAACACCGGTTCTGCATTAAGACCGAGAGCGGTGAGTCTCCCCCCGGGGGGCGCTGGGGTCGCCTGATGGAGCTGGGGATGCTCCTACCCCAAAGCAAACTCTGCAGCCTTCAAACGGGGCCTGGACCTGGTGTCAGGCTGGCAGAGCATCACCCTCCACCCTGGCTGTCCCCCTGTCCCTGACGTCCCACGCTCTGCTTGCCTTGCAGTGGTCCTGGGCATCCTGCTGACGAGCGGCTGTGCCACCTCCCGTCACTGCCAGCAGCAGGAGCTGCCGGGGGTCCGCATCCACTGCTGCGACACAGACCTCTGCAACGGCTCCCCCAGAGCCCCCCGGCCGCCCCCCGGCCTCGCTGGTGTCTGCCTCTTGCTGCCCTGTGTCCTCGCTACCCTGCTCCTCTCCTGAGGCCCCCCCAGGCCTGGGGGAGTGTGTGTGTGTGTGACCCTTGTGGAGGGGCCTGGGAGCAGGGATACCCCCACCCCTGCTCTTACAGGTGGGCAGGACGCCCTCCTCTCCCCTCTGCTCAATAAAAGGTGCTGGATGCTTTGCTCTGGAAAGGTTTTGGTGATGCCAAGCAGCCGCGCTGCATCCCGGTGAGGATGGGGGACATTTCTTCAGGCTTGGGGGGGCTGGAGGCACCCTGAACCAGCCTGGAGCAGGGAGAACGCAGGGCCAGGAGTACCCACGTCCCCCCGTGGGGCTGCCCACGTCCCCGCGGGGCGTTGGGAGGGCGGCCGAGCCCGGCTCTTCCCACGAGAGGGCATCCTCGACCCACCCAGGTGGGCTTTGGGGTGCAGGGATGGAGCACCCACACAGGGCAGCACCTCCGGTGGGGTCCCGTGGGATGGGTGGGCGGTGGGGTGGGGAACAGGGTGCCCGCGTGAAAGGAACGTTTTTTTTTCAAGATGTTATCCCAAATGAAGAGGCCAAACGGGAGCTTTAGCAGAAAAACCTCATCCCATGCGGATCAGAGCCTAAGTGGCTTGTTCAAGGTCATTGCGGGGGTGTGTGGTGGAGCTGGGAATTAAATGCATATGTCTCAAGAGCCAGCCTTGTGCTTTTATCACCAGGGAAACAGCATAAACCTCACTGGTGAGAAATGAATGAAATATTTTTATTCTAATTTTTTTTTTTTTTCCCTTAGATAAGAAAAATAATGCAAAAGACCTTTTCCATGCAAAACATGAGCTTTTGATGACATTTATCAGATGTGTGTCAGAAAACAAGTCAAAACTCTACTAAAAATATTATCTGAGGCACCTTCCCAGCAGAAGCACCTTGGGGCTGTTACAAAGCATGTTCAGATTCTGAAGATTCAAAATAAAAGGAAATCTGAAAACAAATGCTGTTCAAATGACAAGAACGGCAACGCTAACCAATTCCCCTTCTTTCCCCTTCAAATGTTGCTTATGATTTTCAGGGGAGCGAGCAACATTTCCTTGGCAGCTGGAGTTATTCTTGCTACCAGTTATTTATCTGCCTGGATAAGCGTTGTGCTGAGCTTTTGCAACAAAACCTCCACAGCAACAGCATGCTCCGATATAAATTCCCATTTATTGGCCGGGGCTCCCAGCGAAGGGGACAGGGCTGGTGGCCAGGGGTTCTGGTGTGATGTGGGCCACCTCGCCATCCAGCAGCATCCCGGGGAGAAGCGAGGGGTGAGGAGCCGCCGTGGTTCTCTCCATCACGGTCCCCTCCGCTGCGGTCCCCCAGCCGCCTGCGCGCCTCCGGCTGGTGATGCTGCTGGCCTGGCTCTGCCCCCCTTGCCCGGCTGGAGTCATCCATCTTGCCTGTGTAAGAGGCCTGTTGCAATTAAGTAGGCTGAAGTGCTCCTGAACTCTTTAACCTTTGCCCTGGGATTGCTCCTTTTGCCCTGGGGCTGTGGATCAGCTCCATTGCACTCTCCAAACAGCGCTTGCTACTTAGCTGACATTTCTTTCTCCTGCTGGATCCTATTAGCACCCTGAGGTTGAAAATGCTACTTTGGAGTGTTGTAAGGAATGTGATTTATACTGGAAAGTAGCAGCAATCTATCTTTCCCTATACACACACTACACATGAGGCTGGAGAGCTAAATCCACATCGCCTGAACAAACAGCAACTGGGATAATTGTTGAGGAGGCTTCAGACACCTAGCAGGGAGAGGAGGCTCGGCGGGGCAGGCAGGGATGGGCTCAGGGCAGGCAGCCGGCAGCGGGGCTGCCTAGGAAACCTGCTCCCCATTGGAAAGTGCAAACTGGTGCTGGATGCTTCGGGTTTGCTGTTTGCAAGGGCTCTGGCCATGGGGTCCGTCGCGTGCTTCTTCACACTTCTCATTGCCTGTTGGTCTCGTGTCAAGGGAAGACCAGAGCTGAGCAGAATTTTCACTGGTTTGCCTGGGCGTGAGTACGTATCATAGAGAACGCAATATGCACGGGAGGCAGATGAAAATAAGAATTGAATGGTGCCTGAAGGAGGGCTGATTAGCCTTTATCAGATATGACACACTAACCACCGAGGCTCCTTGCTGGAATACTGAGTTAAAATCTCCGCAGTGTCAAATTTTGTTCTCCTAAGCAAAGAGACACTTTCCATAGTGTTTGTGTGAATCTTCTGGATAAGCCCTGGAGACTGAAACCGTCTCAGCTTCATGTGGGCATTAAAAGTCCCACCCACATGTTTAAAAAAAGCCCCAAACCCAGAAACGCAAAAGCTGACATTTACTCTGAAATGTCTTCTTCCTGCATCGCTGCATGGCATCCCGTGTGAGCGGCGCTGCCTCCCTCCTCGCCGGAGCTGGCTGCATTTTAGCAGGGCTGTGGGCATCCTCATGGGCGTTCGCATGAACTGCCCAGCTGAAAGCCAAGAGATTATTTTGCACACGTGAAAGTGTGCGCACGCACATGCACACGGACACTAGCACAGTGTTTTCTGGGAGAAAAACCAACTACAAAAAAAAAAAAACCCAAACCAAACCCAACCCTAAGCAGCCTCTATGTCAAAAGCCCTTTTATGAAAGCCTCGGTAGCTGAAGAATTGCCATTGTTTCAGTCTCCAGTGAGTGCTAGTCTTAAAATATTTCCAGCTCAGAGCAGGCTTTGACATTCTGCCCAGACCCAGGAGAGGGAACAAACATGAGTTCAGAAACGTTTCTACAAGGCACAGATCCTTCTTCCTTTTGGAGAATCGCGTTCAGCATCTCATGTCCTGTGGCTCTGTCACCCCAAAGTGGGGTAACACCCCAAAACATCCCCAAAAGCAGAGAGGTGGGGACTTCTCAGGGCCTCCTGGTAAGGCAGGGAGAGCTGGTCTGGCTTTCACGCCGAGGCGCTGAAGTTTACTTTCCATCCTTTTACTCAGCCTTTTCCTCATGAGCAGCAAAACCATTTTTTTACCCCAGAAATACGGCACTCCAGGCTGCTCTTCTTGCTTGAATGCCGATGCCTGGGCAGACCCACCTCCCCACCCCACTGGGTGCCAGCAGATGGTCCAAAAGTGTTTAGAGCCTGGAAATCAAAGAAGACAGAAAGTATGCTGTGGTATTAATCCCCCCTTAGCCTTTTTTTCGTCTGTTCACCAGTGATCCTGGGTGCGACAGAGTGCAAATTCAGGAGGAGGAAGCTCTGAAGGCCTTGCTCTCTCCATCGTAGCCTGCAGGAAGGGTGTGTGAAGGATGGAGCAGGGCACACGCATCCACTGCAGCGTCGCTCTGCGTGGTGAAGGTGGGAGAGCCTTGGGACAAGGCTGTCCCTGGGTCTTGACTTGGTGGGGAGACAGAGCTCAGCTATTTGGCCAGCGTTCATGGTTTCTCACCCTTTCTATAATGTAAAAGAGAGAGGAGCTGAGATGTAAGTTACGGGCTCAGCTACATTTCTGCAGGCCAAGATTGATCCCCACCTTCTTTGCAAAAAAAAACTTTTGGAAGAAAAGTGCAGAAAACTGTCAGAAAACTGGGGTCTGCATGCAGAGTCGATGGCCAGGGAGCGTGGCTGAGAGGCTGCGTGCTCCGGGGAGCAGGAGCTAACGTCTGCTTATCTCGGCTGCGAGCGCTCCCCACGTTGGATGAAGGGCAGAGTTTACCCAAGAACAATGCGGGGTTAAAATTTAGTAAGTCCTTGTGCAACCCTTTAAGGAGAGGCAATGAGGACAAATAAACATCTCTTAAAATACAGTCAGTACTCGGGCTTGCTGTTTAATTCATTCTCCGGAAATGCGTGTTGTTTATAGCCATTCATTGAGGAGCTCAGAACAGCAGGGGTTTGAGCCACTCCAAATTTCAGGCAAAATAATATGATCCTCGTTCTTCTCTTGTTTGTTCGTAGGAGAGAACACAAGGTCCAATCTTCAGCTAGTGCAAGGTTGGCTCTAAACTACTGAATATTTTTCGTTTGAGAAAGTTTCTTCTCTGCTTGCTCGCTCTCTCTTACTGTGCCCCCTCCCTCCCTCCAGCGAGTGAGCCCGGGAGGAGCCCACGTTCCCAGAGGATTTGGGTTTCCTCCTCAAGTGATAAAGGCTTCTAGGGTCAATCTGAGCTGGGTGGCCAAAACCAGAAGCTTCCAAGGTTGAAGGTTAGGATGTCTCTTATCTTCTTCCTTCCTGTGGAGAGACAAGTAGGGGAACAATCACGTGCGGGACATCCAGGTCCCTCCTCCCTGGGGCTCCTGTGTGCCCTGGGGGATACTGCAGTGGGTCCAGGCAGAGAAATCCCCCTTTTCTAGGAGCTGGTTCAGCCCCATCCAGTTCACAAAGCTGAGAGGGAGCAGTGCCAGCCTTATTGACAGAAAACCATGAGTTGGGTCATGTCGCCCATTGCCCTCCCAGCACAGAGCTCTTCTCATGCATAATCAGGGAGCTCATTGCTCAGAGGGATGTACAGGGCACAGCGTCTGTACTGGTCCAGGAGCTGCACACACTCTGGCTTTGCTCAAATGAGCTCAAAGCCTCAAAGAAATCCTCTTCTTCTCTAGGACGAGAGCCAAGGCTGCCCTCTGCCAAGGGCTGGGCATCGGGGGGGCTGAATGGAGGGAGAAGGGGGGATCCTTGTTCATTTTAATAACCTCATGGCCATGCCGGGGCCAGCGATGTGCCTGACCTACATACAGCCTAGAGCTCTCCGAACACAATTGATCCATTGGCAAGAGAGCAAACGCAGCGGTGGGGGGAGGACGTGCCCCACTGTACCCCCCCAACATTGTCCCCCAGTCAGCCGGGAGCCGGTGGCACCGTGACCGTGTTGCAGGGATGAAACCACACGGCAGCAGCTTGTTCTCCATCCTGTGCACCACGTTCATCCCTGACCCTGTGCCCTCCACGCTTGACAGCCCCTCCACAGAGCAACTGGACCCGTGGACGCGTCTTCTGAGATGTTCCCCTATGACACTTTCCTTCCGTGTAACGGGCTTCTGGTAGGGAAAGGTGTTGGCTTGTGTGTGCCCCTGGGACACCTCTAAGTAACTCACGCAAGGTTTTGGCTGCTATTAAGTCAAAAGGTGCACTCTTTGGCTCAGGAGCTAGATTCACATCTCCTCACAGAGGCTGATAATGGATTTGAGTGTCTTTCCTCCTCGGTTGTCTG